TCGATCAAGAACCACAAAGAGGATGAATATTGCACTCCAGTAGGACATCACTTCTCCCAGAAGGATCACTCCATCCAAAACCTCAATATCAAAGTACTAAAAGGGAATTTTAAAAACTCTCATGAAAGGAAAACATTTGAGATGAAAATGATTTTACATTTCAACTCCATAAAGGAGGGACCTAATGTGGATTCTGGTTTTCTGACACACTACCAGAACTTTTTATGAATCTACAGAACATCACAATATTCATGTATGTTGTATATATCTGATCTGTTTAGGGTTTATTTGTCATCCTACGTTTATTTTTTCTGTCTTTTGATTATCAGGAGGCATTTTTTACTCCCAGGTCTAACATTTATGACACCCCACGAACCCCCCCATTTAGAGGGTATTTGTTGCATTTCCTGATCTATTTTGAAGGTGTTGTACCCAGGACTGAAAAAAGGAAAAAAATAAGAAAGGGAATAATGCATATTAAGTGAGTGAATGTTTTTAAGGATTTTTACCCACTGGTTGCCCTCTCTTCTATAAATAGTTTGTTATGGCAATGCACTGTATATGTATTCCCATGCAACTTCTGTGCACTTTTCGGTGTGCTGTGGTTTGAGAAATAGTTTAGGCCAGATTGAAGCAATGAAGATTGTGGGTTCATGTTGGGGGCAAAACTTAAGATGTAGTGGGGTTCTAACATTGTTGGTTCAACTTACGAAATGACACAAACCTACGTTACATTTGCTAATATATCTTGTGTAGCTATAGGCTTAAAGGAGAACTATGGGGTTAAGGCTTTTCCCGATAGTTCTCCTTAGGGTAACGGGAGTACACAAACTAGCGTCCTCCCGTCACCCTAGGCTCAGTATACCGCGAGCCCACAACTCTGCCCCCGGCTATATCTGCAATGCCGTCTCAAAGTATCACCCCTCCGCTCTTCCAAAGACCTCCTACTTTCCAGCTCCCTCGTCAACTCCTCCAATGCTCTCCTCTGGGACTTCTCTAGAGTCTCTCCCAACCTCTAGAACTCTTTACCCCAACCTGTCCGACTATCTCCCACTCTGCCTTTAGGAGATCCCTTAAGACTCATCTCTTCAGGGAAGCCTGTCCCGCCTCAACCTGACCACTCAACCCTTACGTTCTCAAACAATTCATCCCCACACAGCTCCCTCATGTATCACCTGCCCCTCCCTTTTAGGTTGTAAGCCCTCAGGGGCAGGGCCCTCCTTACCATCCTGTCTTGAATTGTATTGTGATTGGAATGTCTTTCCTATATTGTAAAGCGCTGCGCAAACTGTTGGCGCTATAGAAATCCTGTATAATAATAATTTAAAAAAAAACCTTTTCAACAAAGGCAAATGAGTGTTTCACAACTCATGGCAGTCGGGTATGATCAGGTTACAGTGGTTGCTGCAGTGACTGTGTTTTGCAGCCATTGAGCTACCATATGAAATGATCACCCACAGCACCCAGATAAAGGAGGACACTGGAAAGCATAGAATTGTAACAATGTGGAAGAAAGGAAGTTACTTCTAACTAGAAAAATGTCTGCACAGCAATTAAACCCGTACAGCTGTTA